GACTCCAGGATCATGACCTGAGCCGAAGGCAGTCGCTTAACCAACTGAGCCACCCAGGCGCCCCCTCGATGTTTTTTTAATGAGTGAAGGAACTAATACTCTCTCATAGTCTTGCACTATTAGCAAATCTTTATTGACATAAAAATCACCTGGAGTTGTTGGCTAAACATGCAGTTTTCTAGGCCGTGCCATAAGAGATGCTGTTTCTGGACGGGGATAGGGTCTAGGAATCCACATTTTATTAAGCAGCTGATAATTGGAAGCATATGGTCCATAGTTCACACTTGGCATGCTCTGCTCCATCATTAGTTCTACTGGCCCTTAGTCCCAACTGTGTGTATCACAATTATCTGTCTGTCCGAATAAAAACAGAGCTTTGCTACCCATCCCCCTCTACCATTCTGACTCCTGAGTAGGGGTACCAACATTTTAAACAAATCCCAAGGCTCCCTCCCAGTTTAATTTGTAGAAATAAAGAAAATAATATTTTAAAGCATTTTGAGTTATTAGAAAAGTGTCTTAGCTCATCAAGGCAATATCATCATGATATATATAAATCTGGCGTCATGAAAGTTATCTGAAAACATGTTGAATTTGGTCTGAGACTCAAATACAGAGGAAATAGAACCCACACTCCAACACTACCTGCGTGGACACCAAGCCTGGATGACCCCTTGCCTGGGCTGAATTCTCTTCTCTGTGTAGGCAGGCTTTCCCCTTCGCTAGGGTCAATGTAGAGATGAAGAGGCTTGATTTTGATGCTGGGATGCTAGGTGCTTTTCTGAGAATGAAGTTCCATATCACTAACATTATAGCTGAAATTTACAAAATTTAAAAAATTCCCAAGAGTGTACCTGTGCTCGCATGCTATTTGATATGTACATACCTTTTTTCAAAGTGGTGAACTTAAGCAACTTTACATCAGAAAGAGCTGAGTGAGGTAGTGATTACACTAGCTTTAGATAATTACCAAAAGGATTTCTGATCCTTACACATATACTGTTAGTTTCTATTCAGTTCCTCATTTTACTTTTCACTCGTACCTTACTTGGTACGCACTTTTCCATGGGTGAACCTGATTCACATTTTTATTTTAAGTGGTAAAATCGTATTTCACCTATTTGCTATTATTTCCTCGGTGTTCTCCCTTGTGTTGGGTGCTTTGGTTATTTTCAGTTATTTGCCACCATATGCAGAGTTCTTATATTCATTTCTGCTCAAATTATATGTTTGTATGAAATGGGGTATATTCTCCAAAGTGAAATGATCACATTGAAAAGTAATGACAGTTTTAGAGTTCTTGTTGTGTATTACAGTGTTGCTTTCCAGAGGCACTGAACCAATATACAACCCTGTGGGGTTCCACCGGGGTGTGGGGCATGCCAATTTTCCCACAGTTTGACCAACGTGTGATTTTGTCATTCTAGCTTATTTTTGCTGGTTTAATATGTGCTTAGGTCCTCTCCAGAGAGATTTAATTTGGACGTTCTTTAAACGATAGAAGTTCTTTTCCATGTGGGACGATTCACTATTTTCATTTTAAGGACCAACAATTCATCTCCATATCTGACAGTTTAAAGGGACAGGTTTAATTGCATTCTATAGAATTGATCCCAGGCTCCACTGTCAGGGAAGAGGATCAGTTGTGTGGCTCTGAATTGGGAAACTGATGTGGAGAATTGCAACAGAAACACCCACTGACCCTCTTTAAGAAGGACTGAAGAGCTGGAACATTCTGATTTCATGCTGAAAAAAATATTGGGGTTTTGGCATAGGACGACAGATTTTGCTTCAAAATGAAAGCAAGAATCTGTCCCTGCTTCCTTTCTTTGACTCTCTTATAATGCCATACCTTTCCTGATCCTTTTTAGATATTCCCATTTCAGATAGACCCCTCTGGTCTATGGCAGGAAGAGCTACAGAAGGACCATGAGACGAAATCATGTTATTTGAGAGGTCCTGCTGGGAGGACCTGGGGGCAGAAGTCTTAGGAGCAGTAAGACATGTCTGTCAGAAGGCACCCCAGTCACAGCAAAGGGCCTTTGCTTGGTTGTCTTGTCCCTCTGTGTCTACGGTCATCTCCCTAAGTAAGCAGATAAGCGATCACCATGTTGGTTTGGGTTCCTTTGTGGTGCCAAATGCAAGATACAGTGTTGTTCGTGCAGATGGGCCTTTTGATATGGACAGTGGTCTAGTCTGTTGGTTTTTAAAAATTGGTGATGGTTCAATTTGTAATGAAAATCAGCCTATCGAGTACTTGGAAGCAAATTCTGCAGATTTTCCTCCATTCTTGGCTGTTCCATTAAATTTGGTAATTTTTGCCTTCACTCTTGTGTTTTTAGGACACTTGCACACATCCATATCTATATCTGTATCTATATCATCTTTATTGAGAAATAATCTGCCTAGTTCACCCATTTCACATGTGCAATTTGCTAATTCTTAATATATTCACAGAGTTGTGTTTCCATCACCACGCTCAATTTTAAAACATTTTCTTCACCCCAAAAAGAAACCCCATTCCCATTAGCAGTCACTCCCCATTTGCCTCCAAGGCCCCAGCCCTAGGCAACCACTCGTCCACTTTCTGTCTCTATAGACTCTCTTGTTCTGGAAATTTCATATAAGGACTAATAAATATGTGGTCTTTGGGTTTAGCTGCTTTCACTTGGCATGATGTTTTCAAGGTGCATCCCTGTTGTTGTATATGCTAGTACTTCTTTCCTTTTTTGTTGCTAAATAATAGTCCATTGCACGATACACTTTATTTTGTTTATCCATGCAGCAGGTGATAGACATTTGGGTTGTTTCCACTTTTCTATTATGAATAATGCTGCTGTGAACATTCATATCTAAATTTTTGTATGAAAGTATGTTCTCATTTCTCTTGGGTGTACACCTAGGTGTGCATTTGCTGGGATATATATGGGAACACTATGTTTAACTCTTTTGAGGAACTGCCAGACTATTTTCCAAACCAATTGCACAGTTTTACATTCCCACCAATAACGTGTGATGCTCTCATTTCTCCATATCCTCACCAACACCTGCTATCACCCATCTTTTTTTGAAATAGCCATCCTAGTGATTGTGAAGTGGCAGCCCGTGTGGTTTTGATTTGCATTCCCCAGGGGATAATAGAATATTTCTTATCCTAGTATGTTCTTATATTTAAAAAAATTAAATAAAGACAATATCTTAGGAAATTCAGGAATACAATCAGTATGGGCTGCTTTCACTTCCTGGGAGGTCTCACACTTCACTGCATCATCACATAGGGGTTCACCCCTGCCATGAATGTGCTCCAGCCATTTTCTTCCATCCTTGTATCCATCCATCATCCAGAATCCTGGGAAGGAGAGATCATTGTCCTGTGTTGGGTTATGTGCCCACCCCTTTGCTTTGTAGTTATGCCTAGACAGAGTACAGCATGAGTGTGTGGATCCTGGAGGGACATTGAGGTGCTCTTGGATTGGGAGAATGGATGTCACACATGGGACCAGAACAGGCTTTCTGCCTCTGAGAAGAACCACGTTGTCACATTTGAAAGCCAAGCAGACCATGTCAGAAACCTTATAGTGCAGGGTAATTACTGATTATGCTTTAGCACACATTATAATGGAGAAAATGTAAGCTTTATTTGTCGCATTCAAATATATTTTAAAATTATGATTTAAAAAGTTTATATAGCCCTTTGTTGGACACCCAGCATGTTTCAAATATACAATCTCACTTGATCCTCAATAAATGTCTCTTAGTGTCTAATTATACTATATAATAGTCTCACTGTGGTTTATATACACTTTTGTGAACTAGCCTAAGAGTCCACCCACCAACAAATGAGATCAAATGAGAAATGTGACGTGAGAAAACGTATTCTGAACTCCACACAAATGACTAACAAATGAGTGCCTCAAAGTCAGTCTATTTGTAAGCCAGGGTTTCCCTGGTCAACAGCTCATGCCAGTAGGTGTGAGTAGACAATGGAGAACAACTTCCATGTGCCTGGTTTCCAGCTACCAAGGATGTTGGCTGAGGGGACAACAGTGTTGTGATATGGATGACTCAAAAGATCACTCTACTGGGAGCAGTTTGGAAAACGTACAGTCCTTGGAATCCTAGGTAGCATCTAAGGTGCCTGCAGGGAGGTGGACGTGTTCATATAATAGTTTTCTAGAATGTTCTGTCATAGCAGGCAGCCTACCAGAAGGGTTCAACTGCTTAAAATCAGAATGGCTGGATCAAAATGGCAGCATGGGGTTGAAAGGCCTCTAGTTAGAGACCAGATGTCCCCATGCAGAGACAATGCCTCTGAATGGCCTGGGAAGAAGGATCCAAGCACCGTGGATCTTTCCTGGGGCCTCAGACTCTTCCCCTCCTTCATGCTCCTACCCTTCCAGTATTGGGCAACAGCCATGGTTGGTTGTAGGTGTCCTGGCCTTTGTGAACTTTCCAAGGGTATAGACTATCAGACAAAAGCTACAATGTCCATTCATAGGCCACTGAGGGCATGTTAGTTCTGCTGATTACCCAGCCAAGGCATGGGTTTTAGACCATGATACCAAAGATTGTATCTAGAATTGTGATGATTTGTTAAAATAACCACTTCATTTGGATGTTTGTATTTTACCCAAGGTATTCTTCAGCAGAAATAAGGAAACAGTTTACTCTCCCACCGAACCTTGGCCATTACCATCGACAGAGCATAAGTACCTCTGGCTTCCCCTCTCTTCAACTAGTAAGTATGAGATGGGTTTGCTTAGAGAATGGTCAAGTGCAGAAATGCACAGTGTGTGCTTTTCCTTCTTGCTTTTCCTTAGCTCTTCTGCTGCCACCTTACACCTCCTACTACCAGTTCCTAACTCCATGCCTGCTTTTTGACATCACACAATTTCCCTCTCCTTCCTTCAGCATGAGCTGGGAGGGCAATGTGGACCTGCAGGGGCCATGGTTCTGAAGTCTCAGGCTTCAGTGGGCAAACGGGCTACTTGATTTCCCCCAAATTATGACTCTTATTTTGGGGAGGGGGAAGTGGCCTGGAACCAAACTACCATTTGTAACAGGCTTTTATTAGGAAAATACATCCCCAAATCTGGAAAGTCAATTTAGGAACCTTAATTTTTAAAAATTGTTTTCTTGGAAGTATAATTTACATACAAGAAATTCACTCATTTTAGGTGTACAGTTTGGTGAATTTGGCCAATTTCTAGTCACTTAATCTCAGTCAAGATATAGAACAGTCTCTTTACCCTAAGATACCCCTAGGACCCCTTTGCAGTGGGTCTCTTCTTCCAGCCCCCAGCCCAAGGCAATCACTGATCCACTTCTGTCACAATTTTGCCTTATCTGGAACTTCGTATAATTGGAATCACAGAACAGACCTTAATTTTTAAGATTTCTATTTATTTATTTATTTATTTATTTATTTATTTATTTATTTATTTATCAGAGACAGAGAGAGAGAGAGCAGAAGCAGGGGGAGCGGCAGGCAGAGGGAGAAGCAGACTCCCTGCTGAGCAAGAAGCCCGATGTGGGACTCCATCCCAGAAC